AGAGTTAACAAGAAGCCTGACCTAATGGACCAATCAGTTTATAACCTAATGTAGACTCTGTGTTATTTTCCTTGGGACTTGCTGGCTTGTTGGGGTACCAGGCAGGACGGAAACCCCAACAAGCCGGCCCTCATACTACAAATGGCGCCAACGTGTGGACAACTGTATCCACAGAAAGCCTGAGAAAGCTTGGGAAAGAATAGAGTAAAGCACGTTTTCTTGGTGGCAGCAATTTCTCAGGTCTGCACTGTTTGCTAGAGGCAAGCAAGCCCTCTCATCTAAGAGAGGCTTCCTGACTCAGCTTTAGCTGCAAAACCTTGCAGCTCTTTTAAGAGGTCCTGCCACAAAAAAACTTAAATGGTGTTAATGAAAAGCTGAATGCATGCTTTTCGGTTTTCAGCCGTAGCAGGAAAAAAGCTGTGCTGTTTTAAAATGCCGGTTTTCTGGGTCGTCCTGCCAGGGCAAACTCTGACTCTTTCAGGCAGGCGGTCCGACTGAGTGTGGTCTGTGAGCAGAATGCTCCAGCTTACTTGCTAGCAAGGACCTTGAAATGCCATAGAGTTGTGACAACAAAAATGGCTACAGCCAGTACCTCCGCAGAGGCTGGAAAGCTAAGGATCTAGCCGTCAAAGCCACGGCTTTCCGTATTGTTTTGTAAATTAAAGGCTCATGTGGTCAGAAAAAGAGAGATATACAGTAAAGAGAGATTCAAAGATGAATAAAACCTCTAAATGGTTTACTATGAGTTAAAAATATATACAGGTTAAAAGGTTAAAGTCATTAAAAATAAAAAAGAAAGGGAGATATAGGGTGTGGTGGTACACACCTTTAATCCCAATGCCTGGGAGGTAGAGGCATATTGACCTCTGTGACTTTAAGGGGCAGAGGTAGTTGACCTCTGTGACTTCAAGGTGTGGTAGCACACACCTTTAATCTCAATGCCTGGGAGGCAGAGACAGACAGATCTCTGAGTTCAAGGTGTGGTAGCAAACACCTTTAATCCCAGCACTGGGGAGGCAGAGACAGAGGATCTCTGTGAGTTCAAGGACAGCCTGGTCTACAGTGTTATTCCAGGACAAAGATATATACAGAGAACCTGTCTCAAAAAGCCAAAAGATAAAAGAAAAAATAAAACAGAGGTTGAAATAAAGCTGCATAAAGATGGAAAATACACAGAGAATCTTGATACTGTATGCTATTATGCTCTCTTTGAATTGTTTGATTGCTGAGGAAGGAACAACAGCTGCTAAAAGATATTTGCTTATAAATGCTGCGGAATCAATCCAAGAAAGGTATTTTGAAAATACCTTGGCTTCAAAATTGAAGTTAACAGGTATGCTACTTTGGAGAAGAGATTCTGCTTTTGTTTCCACAGAAAACGAGAGGCTCTGGATTTATTCAGAGTTAAGAAAAATCACCTTTGACCAAGGGAGGCCACCTGAAAAATCTCTGACAGGAATAGATGGCCCAAATGTCTGAGTTCTTCATCCAGAACAGGTTCAAGACTGCTGCCTGAGATGATCAAGACTCACAGGATACTTCAGTCAGGACTTGACTATAACTCTAAATTTTCTTTAGGTCCCCAGAAGATTATCAGCGCCCCCAACCAGCAGGAAGTAGACTGAAATACTATGCCCACATTCCCAACAAATGGACTATGGGTATTTTCCTTTGTTTAAAAAAAAAAAGAGGGAAATGGTGTGGGAGAATTATCTGTATTCTGTCAATCATATTTTAATAAAACGCTGATTGGCCAGGCAGGCAGTATAGGCGGGAAAGCCAGACAGGAAGTAGGGTGGAGCAAAGAGACTGGGAGTATTCTGGAAGCAGAAGCTCTCTCTCAGCCATTCCTGTACAGACCACCGAAGAGGCAACATGTAAGCTGTCACACCGAGAAAGGTACTGAACCCATGTGGCTAACATAGATGAGAATAATGGGTTAATATAAGTTATAAGAGTTAACAAGAAGCCTGACCTAATGGACCAATCAGTTTATAACCTTATGGAGTCTTGTGTGTGATTTTCTTTGTTGCTTGCCGGCTGTTGGGGTACTGGGAGGGACAGAAACCCCAACAAGCCAGCCCCCATACTACAATAGGCCATGATTTTGAGAGGGAGCAACTGAAGGGACTGGAGGGAGAAAAAGGAAGAGGGAATGATGTAGTTATAGCTTACTGAATTTTTAATTAATAAAAAATAAGGAAGCAGCAGTGCTTGCCCTGCCAAAGCTCATGCATGTGAAGCTAGGGTGTCAGGTCACGTGGGGAAGTAAAAGGTGATACGGATTACTAACTTGAGAAGCTGCTCTCAGTGGCTGGGGAGGTGGCTCAGTGGCAGACTATCTGTCCAGCATGAGTGAGGCTCTGGGCTGAATACCTAGCATGGCATAAATAAGGGCTTGGAAGGGAGGCCCTTTCAAACATTTTGAATTAAAACCCTGACTCTTACTATAATATTTCAGTATTTTCTATTTATTTACTGATTCATTTAAAAAAAAACTAAAAGAGCACTGTTTCGGGTAAGACTGACTAAAATATGTAAAATTAGCAGACAGAAGCTTGGAGAGAAAAAGCCTATGTAATTTTGGAATTATCTTCCCCAAGACATGGTCAGCTGCCAGAGTTAAAATAATAACCTAATAATAATAACCTAAAAGAAAGGCAGAAACCAATGGAACCCAATGATAAAACTGCAAAACAGATCAACAGCATCACTTCCTCCATATGTAAAACTGTGGACCTCCACCATCATGGTTCACATGCAGGCTCCCGGGAAGGGCCTGCTTCAGTCACAGCTGCCCTACAGCCCTAGCACCCCCACGTGACTGAAACTGATATCTGACAACGTGAAGGAACAGATTTGCAAGCTGGCCATAAAAGGCCTGACTCCCTCCCAAACAGGTGAGATCCTGAGGGACTCACGTGGTACGGCACAGCTCTGTTTTCTGGACTGGTAATAAAATCTTGAGAATCCTTGTTTCCAAAGGCCTTGCCCTGATATCCCTGAGAATCTCTACCATTTGATTAAGAAAGTGGTTGTTGTCCGAAAGCATCCTGAGAGGACCAGAAAGGATGAGGGTGCTAAATGGCGCCTGGTGGTGAAACAGAGCGGAATTCACCAGTTGCCTCTGGGTCACCAGCTGGCTCGTTACTATAAGGTTAAGCAGGTCCTCCTACCCAATTGGAATTATGAGTCATCCATGGCCTCTGCTCTAGTGGCATAAGTTCTCTTATGCACACAAACAATCAATTCATTTTGAAGTAAAAAAAAAAATCCTTGCCAAGAAAAGTAGACTCTCATCCTAATCATAGAAAAACACAGACACATCTAAACCAGGAGACCTTCTCCAAAAATTGTCAGTCATTAAAACTGTCAAGGACAAGAGAGGCTGGGGAAATGGCTAAGCTGATAAAGCACTAGCCACGTATGAGGACCTGAGGTCAATCTCCAGTACCCACATAAAAGCTGGAGACAACAATGCCCCACTCTCATCCCTGTACTGTGGAAGCAGGGGAAAGGAGTCTAGGGGCCTGCTGGTCAGTCAGAGTAACTAATCAGTGCATTTCAGTTTCGCTGAGATACCCTCTGTCTCCAAAAGGACCATGGAGAGCAACTGAGGAAGACAACAAGATGTCAAACTCTGGCCTCCACATGTGCACACATATCCCACACACATGTATGTGCACACACAAACACATAAACACACACAAGCAAACAAAGAAATGGAATAAAGTCAAGGACCTGGAAGTTAAAGGAAAATGCAAAATCTTCAGAGACTGGAGGAGTCAAAGGTAAAGTGGTAGCTAGATGCAAGGCAAGGTCTTGGGTGAACCTTGAAACACAGTAAAATTCATAATGCTCAAATGCACAGACTAGAAAAGGGACTAGTTAAAGCAGTAATGACGTACCCAAGTCAGTTAAGATGGTAGCAGTGGGAGCAGAATGAAGGGAATTTATTTTGTACTTTTATTTTAATTCCTTTTTGTCTAAAATACATTCAAAATAACACATTAAAACTAAGTAGCCATGCTGATTAAATAGGATAGTAATGAGACGCGGTACAATAGCCTGTGCTCTGAATTCACACCCCAGCTCTATAACTGATTAATTATGCAATTTGGGGCAAGTTGTAATCATCACGCTGTGTCTCTCTAGCGCCTCATTTTTGCAAAGAGTATCATCATGATGCCTACCTTGTGAGGTAGATACAAAAATTAAACAAGGGGTCCTTGAGAACGGTAAGAGCGGTGCTTGGTATATGATGAGTACTCCATCGCTTCCCTCTATTACTGTCATGCACAGTGACTCTTCCATGCCAGGCAGACCTTGGGTTTCACTTGTCAAAAGATGATCTAATGAAAGATGCCCAATCACATGTTGAGACTGGAAAATGAAAGACTAGAGGGGCAAAAGCACAGCCTCATTTTGTGAGCTCAGAACACATCAGTTCAAGGACTGAGGAGAGCCAAGTACAGCAGGGAGTGGAGTCTCTCCAGTTGCAATGGAGATGGGCTGGACCACGGGTTTCCTGTCGGTGATGTGCACCCATGTTTGTGATGAGGCCATGGCAACTGGCCCAGTGTTTCCAAATTAACCTGCGTTCCTCCCTTCCTTCCTCCCTTCCTCCTTTTTTCTCAAGAAAACCAAGAGTCTTGGCTCTTCATAAGAAAATTCATAATTTCTAAATGTCAGCAGATGATTCAAAGATTTAAACTAGCTTGAGCCAACAGTACAAAAGCCAAGCTCAAGACGTGAGTGAGCAAGATCCAGCTAGTGGCCCCCACATGAAGCGGTCACCTTCTTAGTAGGTACGCTTGGTGAAGGAGTAAGCATGTGGGACTTTGAGGTCAAGATACCTGTCGCAGATCCGCTCTGATCTTAATGGACATACCACCCACATGCTTGCTTACACATGCATGCTTACACATGATCACAACGCAGACACACACACATCACAGGCATCTGGAAAATCCAGAAATAAAATTAAACACAAGTTTTAAACTGGAAGTTCTCAGAGTCATTTATTAAGCCCTAGTCTACTAGGAATAAATACAGATTAAATTCATGCCGCACCTTCCCTTCTTGTCCAGAGCCATTTTCTGAGGAACTGTTCCAGTCGAGAGCTCTGGGAAAATGCTTAGCAGATGCAGACAGGCATCTCTGGTGTCCAGCCCTCCTCAGTCTTGAGCTCATCACAATGCCCTCTCTCCCCTTTCTGTATAGTGTTGGTACCCAGTAGACCCCTAATAATCGATATGCAGAATTCACCTCCTCTTGCAAAGGAATTTGAGGCTCACCGGCTGTACTTCATCTGAGGAGCGAAAAAAAGATGAGGAGTAAGGGCAGATAGCACATGGGACTGAAACCAGCCTCCAGCTCTGCCAGTTGGTTTTGATTGCTTACCAAGGAGAAACCAAACAAAGAAACCGGTGGAATTTATTTCAGCAAACAGCCCCTTTCAAAGGAAAAGAACTCAGTTACAATCCGAACACAGTTGCAAACAACCACTTAGTTAAAGAAAACAACATGTTCAAACATGGTGTGCTGAAGCAGGCATTTGGTGTGTGTGTGTGTGTGTGTGTGTGTGTGTGTGTGTGTGTTCTGAAAGGAAGGCAGGATAAACATACTTATACACATCATCATTATGTCTATAAACACTTAGTAGCTCAGGAGTAAAAGAAACGATTCCTACACACTTAAGTACTGAGGGATTTCATGGTATATTTTGCCAAATCCTCCTCAATCAGCCGATGACGGGCACAAGTGCTAAAGAGGCTCAGTCCCTCCTTGTTCCCCGGGTTCCCTATTCCTTTTTTTTTTTTCCTGTCCTCTCCCACAGTGCACTGCTCTTTAAAACATAGATGCTTTAAGAAAAGTCGAAGAGGTCAGAACTCTGCGTAGTAAATTCCAGCAACAGTAAAATGAACTTGGTGCTTTTGGCTGTACGGAAAGTCAAACAGGAGTCAATTCTGGTCAGAGTAAGGCAATGAAGTCTAAAGCAGTAACACTGCATGCATTCTCAAATACATGGGGAATCTAATATTGCTGAGAGATCTTATGAACTATAAAGATATTGATGATAGCTACCAAACCTCCGTTGAAGCTCTGTTCTACCGTTTCCTGTCTTTCATTTTATTTAATCTCACAATGACTTGCTGCCAGAAAGATGGCACCCCAGATTCTAACAGAACAGAAGGCTTGTACCCCGAGTCAATTATACAGTTCAGAAAAAAGAGATGTTAGGGGTCCAGTCCAAATCACTGAATCCAAAGCCTTGAGTTTTTCAGCCACAACAAAGGACAGGCCCAGTAGGATGTCAAGCCATGAATTATGATGCAAAGAGTACACAAGCCTGGAGGGGTGTCTCACATCTTCTAATCCAAGCAGCAGAGAGACAGAGGCAGGTACATCTCTGAATTTGAGGCCACCCTGTTCTACATAATGAACTCCAGGATAACCATATCTACATAGTGAAAATTCTTCTCAAAGAAGAAAGAAGGAAACTAGGGCATATAAAACAGTGAAAGAAAATAATGCTTGCCCCATGTTTCCTGTGTGCTCATCATAAGTCAAGTCCCTGTGAGCAGTGCTGAGACTGAAAACAGAAGACCCTGCCTAGGCATCTGTAACATGAAGAGGTTGGGCCTGCTTATTTGTGGGTTTTTCTGTCCTCCCACCAGATCTCCACAATTATTTAGTCCCAGAGAAAATCACCCACACAGGACTCCATAAGTTATAATGCTGATTGGCTCATTAGGTCAGGCTTCCCACTGGCTAACTCTCATATCTTGATTAACCCATTTTTCTGATCTATGTTAGCCATGTGGCTCAGTACCTTTTTCAGTGGGGCAGCTCACATCCTACTGCTTCGGTGATCTGGGCAGGAGTGGGAGGAATCAGCTTCCTCCTCCCCAGAATTCTCCTGTTCTCCTTGCATCATTTCCACTTCCTGTCTGGCTTTCCTGGCTACACCTCCTGCCTGGCCAATCAGCATTTATTTAAAACATGATTGACAGATTACAGACAATTCTCCCCCACCAGGCGTCCATAGTGAGATAAGAGAAGGGTGGGGTGGGGGGTGAGATAAAACGAATGTGGCCCAGGACCTTATGGGAGACCATTACATTCAGAAGGTCCTAGAGAAGTTTATGGAATTGATGGCATGTGAGGTGGTCCTGGAAGGGGAGACAGAGCTTTCCACAGGAGACAGGAGGAAAATACTGTTGTAGATACAAGCGGAAGGACTGGAAAGCAACACAGACTGTGGAAGGGAAAGCATTTGTGGGAACACAGCAAGGCTGTGAGCTGCAACTTGGAAGAGAAAGAGAGAATGGGTCTAAAAACCTGGAGGATCTTCAGCTTGAAGCTGAGAGATTTGAACTCTGTGTTGTGCGTCACGAGCGTGGGGTAGACGAGGTTAAATAAGACATGGGACAGTACAAATAATCCTAATAACAGGGAATCTAGCAAATGGGGAGTATGAGTAAAAGGGGGGCAGCCCTTAGAGTCTGGCCTGTGTAGGAACTCTGCTCTGCCACCAGCCCTACAGCCTTAGGTAAACCTGCACCTCTCTGAGTCCCAACATCCTTAGCTGTAAACGGAAATAAAAACAGCAGTCTGGCTCACAAAGTTGTTGTGTTAGAGCAGAATGCACCTATGAATGAGTTTCCAAGGGGCAGTTCCTGATTTACACAACGTTTGGCTTCTCTGTCGCTTGACATAAGGGATTTCTCTAGCTAAGCTGGTACACAGCGGCGCTGCACAAAGAATGGGTGCTGGGCAAGGAAGGACACTAGTTTAGTGACAGGTAAGGTCTGGTTCCGATTCCCTCAGCTAATAGAAGAGGCTCACTGACTGACATCAAGCCAGCTGTGACCTTCTCTGAAGGTGCGGCTCCTCTCAGAACATCACAGTTAATCATCAGCAAACAGCAGAGCCTTGCTCCTCCTTAGGAGCTGAACTGTCTCTGTCTCCAGAACTGCGTGTAACTACATCAGGCCCCACTCTTTTCAATAGGAAACGGGGATGGGAATGCTCAGTGGATGGGTGAGCCCGTCCTAATGGACTCACAGCAGTTGGGAGAATTTGGAGCAAAGCTTTACAAACACAAAGGAGCACTGTGATGAGTCTAGCCATGTTCACACGGTTCTCCTGAAATCTTGAGCTCTGGGGGCCGAAAAGAGTTACTGTTTGAAGTGCTCACATGAATTCTAAGGAGGAATAACAAGGAAACTCTCAGCCCCTGGCCCCTCAACAGTGAAAAGCACTTTTACCTTTACAGGCTGGTTCATTGCTACCCTGTGAAAACAGAGCTCAGGCTATAAAATAAGGCCAATTAAGTCTACACAATTCTGCTTCCTGCCCCGTCAATTTCACCTCTTTCTCTTTCTTCCCCGTATAATTAATAGCCTCTCCTGCCTTATTTCCTCGTGGCACAGGTTTACGTTTGGGAATATCATAAAATGTACAATACGCACAGGAAAAAAAATCACCCCTCCGTCCTGCACGTACACTGGCATTTGCACACAAGCTCGCATGTGACACACCAACACACCCCTTCCTCCCTACCTACGCGCTTATGAAATAACTGCTTAGGTATCATGGTTGATGATGGCACTCAATGGCCTTGATGATCTAATGTGACACTGCATGGCTTCTTTCTCCATGCGTCACACAGACACCCGGGCTTAGCCAAGCGTCAGTCCTGAGTAGATACCCAGAACCCAGATGCCCTCGACAAGCCAACCACAGGGTACTTGTTCACAGGTCTAGGAGGGCTCTTGCTAGGAGCATCCACTGTGTTTCTTCTCCTGTCACTGGGAGCTGGAAATCTCCCATAGATGCTTCCTGCCCTGAACATAGCATGTTTCCGCTTTACTCCTGTTTCTTTGGGACAATATGAGTACCCAAGCTATTTGAAAGATGAGGGAACTTGAGGTGAAGCCACCAGAGTGAAAATGTTTCTTGGGCTTCTGTGAGCTGTGACACCTTGTGTGTGTCCATTGTGGGTCATGGCGCCATGGTTTGGAGGCTCAGTGGAAATACTTCAGAAATACTTCAGAGGTCCTCCCACTGCATGCTCAGGGAGGAACAGAGGTGGGTGGCTGTCGTTCTCAAGGGTGATGAGTGAGTTCCAGGAGACACAGAGCCTGTGCCCTGACTCTGCCGCCAGCCAGGAACCCTCACACGGGGTTTCATGTTTTGGAGGTCTGGCCTCATCACACCTCAATTTTCAAAGCTTCCTCGTGTGTTAATCAGACAAAAGGGCTGGTGCAAAATTCAAGATGTCGTTATTTGTAGGCAATTGGATGGAGCTAGAAACATCATTTTGAGCGAGGTAACTCGGACCCAGAAAGACAATTATCACATGTACTCACTCATAGGTGGTTTTTAAACATAAAGCAAAGAAAACCAGCCCACAAATCACAATCCTGGAGAACCTAGACAACAAAGAGGACCCTAAGAGAGACATACATGGATCTAATCTACATGGGAAGTAGAAAAAGGCAAGATCTCCTGAGTAAATTTGGAGCATGGGGACCTTGGGAGAGGGTTGAAGGGGAGGGGAGAGGAAGGGACGGGAGCAGAGAAAAATGTAGAGCTCAATAAAAATCAATTAAAAGCGGGGGAGGGACTGGTGCTCTTATTGGATGCATACTCGTGGATTACACAAACTAAATAATTTAATCATTTCCCTGAAGGATCTTCCCTTACGCCCATTGTTAGTCTGTATTGTTGACCGGGACAGTTATCTTGTATCCTTTAGGTTCTGAATAATAAATATTTCTAATTTCCACTTCTCTGCTGTAGAAGAGACTTGCATGGCAGCTGTATAAAGGTAGACCCCTCCCGTGGCTGTAATTGAGGAGACAGCATCTCCTCTGCATGTCACTAGAAAAATGGAGCCCAAGCTGTTCTGCCTGAATTTTTACCACCTTCCATTCTGCCACCACAAGTGTTGCCTTTGCACTCCTTCTGAACCTTACTGAGCGTTGAGAACGCTCCTGGTGAAAGCATTCAGATCAGCCATCCTTTTGCGAGGAGCGAAAACTGTGGTGACCTCAACTAGGTACAAGAATGCTTTCTTGGATGGGAAGGGATGAAGGTAGCAGAGGTGGGGACCAGATTTAGGTGACCTTCCCATGTGCTCTGTTAAGCCACTTAGAGTTTTCTCCCCATCTGGCTTCTTTGCCTCCTCTTCCTTTCTCTTCTTGAATTTGCTCCATGAAACACTTCTGCCTGGTGTGGGGCTAAGACTTTATAAGGAAGTTCTTTCAGCTCTTGGGTGCTTTTCCTCCCTTTCTTTGCTCTGGAGAGTCAGAACCTGAGGTTCTGCTGCTATCTGAGGGCGCTTCCAAAACAGAGGTGGGAGGTAAATACAGAAAGGCCAGCCCATTCCTACTTTTCCCTTTCCATAGCTAGCCCCCAGGGCCACATAAAGCACAAAGCAGATTTAACAAAGGTGTTCTCCATCAGGGATGAAGGGAGAAGGTTGCTAGTGGTACCTAGGAGAAACTGTTCTCCTTAGATGAGTGTATGACATGGGACAACTCAAGCAATTAATGAAGGACAGGGCTTGGTTATAAAGACAGTCATTGAAATGTAAGCTATATAACAATAGAGAAGAATTTTCCATAGAGATAGAAATGTTCTTTCTGCTCGGTTCAAAACAGCAACCATCAGGGTTTTGTGCAGTGTAGTGCAGCAGGCAGAATGTGGCTAATGCTACCAAGTGTTTCACTTTGTTTACTTGGAAATAAACAAGCTTTAAATTGCCACTAGTGGGTTCGATGGGGAAATCTAAACTTTTTCTTGATAAGTGACCTTACATAATTTTATATATACCTTACATATATTTTATCTCTCTGACCCTGTGCTCACCCATCTGTAAAGTAGCCACAGTTCTGCCACCTTGCATCTTTATTGGACCGACAAAGTGAGAGAGACTGGCACCAAGTTGATCAATGCCAGTGCCAGATCCTGCACTCCGTAAGGACCTTAGAGTCAAATCTGAAAATTAGAATGATGTAACAATCTAAAAGAAATGCATATTAAAAGTCCATGCCTTGATTTTTTCTCTGGAATCAATTCCTTATGATTGCCATGTTCACTCACCCTTCGTTGTTTGCCAAGAGTGTCCTGAGAGCAAAGAAAGGCTGAAAGGAACACACCTACAGTGGCCCTACCTGCCCCTCACTGCAGTCCAGGCCTGAAGAGACAGGGAAGAGTAGACTGGACAACCAGCATTGGCAACCAGCATTGATCTCTTTATCCCAGACTGCAGACACATCCTGCCACCATGCCTTCCCCGCCATGGTGGACTGAAGCCTCAAACTGCTAGCCAAAAGGCTTCATCACTCAAATTGCCTTGGCTAGCATATCGCCACAGCAGTAAGAGGGCTCCCTAATGCATCCGGTAAGGATCTCAAGTTAAACGAATTCAAAAGCCAAGTAGTCCTCTCTCACAAACTGTTCCCCTTCAATATCCTCTACCTTATAGAAAAGCAATGGCATCTGCCCACGGAACCAGAAGACAGCGGATCTAGAACCACCGAGTTCAGCCATAGTGACCCCCCCAGCTTCCTACTGAGCCCTCCCCAAAAGTCTTGGGATTGGAGTATCTTATCACTTACCTCTTACTCACTGACCTTGCCAATAAGTCAGACTGTGTCTTCCATGGGCTTGGTGTTGTTAATTCAAGAACCTTTTAGAAGAGTTGCTTTTTCTTAGACTGTGATGCCTGCAGGGGGCAAAGAACAGATTCTATCTATAATAGATTCTCACTATTCAGTAGGTGTGACAAAATGGCACTCATTTGCAATTATTCTGCTTTCCAGGGAGCACGGTCACATAAGCTACAACTAACCACATTCGTTCTTTGTCACTGGACTGCACAACACACCATTGCTTTGACTTTGCTGTCTTCACACCATACTCACATCCCAATCCACAGGAAGTGCCGGAGCCTGTGGATGGATGAAGAAATGATGCGGTGAGAATGCGTCCGGCTTGAGGGCCGCCGGCGGGAAGGCGCTGCGGCTCGGGCAGCCCTCACCCACTGGAGCTCGCCCGGCCTCGCGGTAGGCCTCGGCGCGTCCCTGGGCTCGGGTGTTGGCTGTGATGCATGTTTAAAAGGAAACTTTCGAGGTCGCAGATACAAGTGTTTAATTTGCTACGATTACGATCTTTGTGCATCTTGTTATGCAAGCGGGGCAACAACAACAAAGCATAAAACTGACCACCCAATGCAGTGCATATTAACAAGGGTAGATTTTGATTTGTACTATGGTGGGGAAGCTTTCTCTGTAGAGCAGCCACAGTCTTTTACTTGTCCCTGTTGTGGAAAAATGGGCTACACGGAAACATCTCTTCAAGAACATGTTACTTCTGAACATGCAGAAACATCAACGGAAGTGATTTGTCCGATATGTGCAGCGTTACCTGGAGGCGACCCTAATCATGTCACAGATGACTTCGCAGCTCATCTGACACTTGAACACAGAGCCCCTAGAGATTTAGATGAATCGAGTGGTGTTCGGCTTGTATGTAGAATGTTTCACCCTGGCCGGAGGCTGGGAGGCCCTTGCGCCCGTAGATCAAACAGGCACTTTACTAGCAGCTCCACTGGTGGGCTCTCCTCTTCACAGAGCTCCTACTCTCCAAGCAGTAGGGAAGCCATGGATCCTATAGCTGAGCTGTTATCTCAGTTATCAGGAGTGAGACGTTCTGCAGGAGGACAGCTTAACTCTTCAGGCCCTTCCGTTTCTCAGTTGCAACAATTGCAGATGCAGCTGCACCTTGAGCGGCAGCGTGAACAGGCAGCACGGCAACAACTGGAGACAGCTCGCAACGCAAGCCGGCGCACTAACACAAGCAGCGTCACCACTGCAATCACACAGTGCACGGCCACAGCCAACACAGCCAACACGGAGAACAGCCAGCAGGCTCTCCAGAACTCCCAGTTCCTATGAACGAGGTTGAACGATCCCAAAATGTCTGAAGCAGAGCGCCAGCCCATGGAAAGCCAGCACGCAGACCGCAGCCTGTTTGTCCAGGAGCGTCTTCTGTCCACGTTAGTGCGTAAAGAGAGCTCGTCCTCATGTGAGGACGAACGGGGGGAGATGGCAGATTTTGGTGCTATGGACTGTGTAGATATTATGCCTTTAGATGTTGCTTTAGAAAACCTAAATTTAAAAACCTAAAATTAAAGAGAGTAATAAAGGAAACGAGCCTCCACCACCTCCTCTTTGATGACCTCCCCACTCGCAGACAATGTCCTCTGTGCTGTATTTGCCAATGAAAGTGGACAACAGCTATCCTGGGTTTGTTTGGTGATTGTAATTTCAGGTCTGTCACTCTTGTTACATTGTGTATATTCAAAAGGAAGAAAGAAAATGTATATGATAATCTTTTCCACTCAACTAATTTTTACTTCTAGCAGGTAAATGTAGGTAGCAGTGCAGGGTGATCTCTGCTTCCTGTACCTTGCCATGCAAAAGGCTCTCCTGATACTCCACATTCAAACTGAAGAAGAAATTGAAATCTTTAATGAAGCTGCTGTGTGTATTTATGAATATTAATGAATAAAAACTGCTTGGATGGTTTACCTAACTACTGCATGAGGTTTTTTGCAGCGTGCATGAGTTTCAGTGACCTTGTTATTTAAGAAAAATTAAATACAAGGAGTAAAACTTAAGAAATAAAATTTCAAAAAAAATAAAAAAAGAAATGATGCGGTGAATGAATGAATGAAGAACAAAGAAGCAAAGGAAGCAACAGTTCTTTCCACCAGGCGGCCCTGAGTAAGCCACTTCCCGCAGAAGTCTAAGTGAATCCTCCTTCCCATGTCATAACCCAGGCAGGACTCAAAGAGAAACTTGAGGAGCAGCCTAATGGTCAGGGAGAAATTCTCACCCACAGTCAGCAGCCAGCTGCACTTCCGCCGTTCCCATCCTCTCTCCTCTCTTCTCGTTCTCATTCCCCATCATATCCATTATTTCGATAACTGAGACTTCAAACGCCAAGTTTTGCTATTCAGGGCACTCTGGAAATGTGTTTTTCTCATCTGTTCTAATGAAATAGTTTCCACTGTCTGTTTCCCCTGCAGATAGCGATCACAGTCCGGGCGCAATAAAAAAGAAAGCCCAAACTTTGACCAATATAGAATCTAAAGCCTGTCCTTGGAAAGCAACACCCTAGGGGATTCTACCATAACCGCTCTGGGCTTGGCCCGGCTACTGTTGAATACAAGGTATTTGGAATAATCCATTTCTGTGAGCGGACTTCCCGATTCTTCCTGCTCAGTCTTCCCAGAAGGCCAAAAGAAAAAGGCTTTGAAAAATGGTACTCCCTCAAGACCTGCAGAGGGAGGCTTCCCAGGGTCTAACAATAGGATTAAAATGTCCCTCTCCTCTTTCACTACCTCCTCTGGCTATAGGCCCTCATCTCTGATTACACTGCTGCCTGGGCACTGGACTGTCTCACGTTGGCTGATGGCATTATCAGGACAATGCCTGGTCCCACCAGCACACAATAAATGACCTTAGACAACTATTTTACTTACTGCCTTCAGTATCCCACTTATGAAGCAATTGTACTGACCTGTGCTTCAGACTGTGCTGTGAGATTAAGATACATAGTATTCCAGATACCCCATGGGAACAGGTTCCAGGTTCATGGGAGGAGTGTGTATCATGCATCCTTGTCAGTATTTGACTTCTCTCAGCTCTGATATCTCTAGGACCATGTTTGTGTAGTTTTTAGCTGAGAGATTGCCAAATGGAAGCCCCATTTCATATGCTTGCGTGCATGCCCACACCAACACACTATCCCCCTATGCACAAAGAAACACATACAACATACACAAGCCATACATATTTGTGTCTTACGTATACAAACCACATATGTAAGCTGCACATATTATATGGATAGCATGCATCAAATACACCAGAAACCCATACCATTCTACCCAACATCCAAAATACGACATGCAGACCATTTACACAGATATTATCCTGCACACACAATTCAACTAAACACATACATGCACACATCAGGGGGTGGGATTTGGGCCTTGGCCAGTTAACATTCCAAGAGTGACCTGTCCCCACTGGCCTTTGTTATGCTCTGTCCTTCCTAAAAAGGAAACAGCTCCTGTGCTCCGTCCAAAGGGGTTGGGAGGAAATGCTTTAGGAAACATAAAGGAAGGGGATGTGCTGTCCCTTTAAAGCTTTTGATCTTTACTGAGACCCTGTTTTCAATCCTGGCTGACAGTAATCAGCAGTAACACACCGGGAACATTCACTCAAGATCGAGCACCATTTAACACACACTTAGAGAAGAGTTCTGGCCATACAGAAAACCTCTGCTGCATGCAGCCGGATGAGCAGTCTGGGGCCACGGAGCAGTTCCCCCTGCCAATCTCTGCCACCGCTTCAGCTTTGCTCACAGCAGTAGAGGAGAAACTGTGCTTCAAGCTGGCACTGACCAGGCACTGATGAACCAAGTCATCTCTTGTCTCTTTTGCTATACTTTGCGAACAAATGTCTCAAAAAATAAACAGCTGAGCGTACATTGATCCTCTTCCATTCCACTCACCTATAAGTACGGTTGACATCGGTGGGGTTACGATTTGACACCTCCCAGCGGCCTACTGCCATTCTAGGGTGCACGTGACGCTTGGTGTTCTCAGCTCCAAACCAATTCAGTTACAGCTTTTGTTACTCAAAATGCAGAGATGTTTACAGAGACCAAGCCAGCTATTCCCCACCAACCTATATTTGGTGATTTTTGTTTACAGATTTTGACCTAATATTTCCCCTCCAGAGCCATGGACCATCAGGCTAGGACATAGCCACGCCAACCCTAGAGGTGTGAGGAGGTGATGGGTTCCATGAAGTCAGGCAGTTAGAATTTCAGTGTCTTCATTAAAAAGGAGAGCTGTCTCCTTTGCCATGACTGAGTTGTGTATCTAATAATTAAAATATAGATCTTAATTCTTTAGGAATTATAAAGGAAACATATATTAATAGCAGGTCCAAATCAGGTGAGTCTATGACAGTACTGCCCCATGAAATCAGCATCCCTCGTCCTTTGCTCCACCTTGATGCTAGGTCAGGTAGCAGTTGAACAGCTTTTTCTCTTTAGCTCACGCGCTTAGCAGTTAAGGTGTGTCCATGCCCACATTCATTCACGGTGACCTGAAGGATTATCGTATCATTCCTAAATATGGAAGCTATGGATCATATAAGTATTTCATTAAATATCTCATAGCCTATAGTGGGAAAGGCAGAGTGGGGAGACTGCTCCATTCTCAGGACACCACACTGACCTGTCTCCAGCAATCCCACATGTCTCTGCAACTTGATAATGGTAGACTTCTGGTGGGTAGCTTGAAGCTTTCTGTTGGCTTCAACAGAAAAGAACATGACAGAAAAGAATAGGGAGGCCCCTTGTAGGTGTAGAGTTGACTTCAGAACGTCCTACACATTGACCCTGGTCTCTGACTTTCAGTTCGTCTTCAAGTTTCAGATGTTTCTCAGGGTAGCCATCCCTTACACCCTTGACTTAGGGTCCCACTATTACATGCTGCTACAGCATCTTGTTCTTTTTACTTAGTAATTTGAAATGAAAATTGAAATTTATGCCTTGGCAATGCTGAAGCATGCATGGGCAGCTTGTCTAAGGCGGTTTTGTTGAACTTGTCCATATTGGATTTCATGGTCTAAGTTGGTGAGGACA